ACGGGCTTGGGATGTTCTAGCCTCTACAATGGCGTGAGCTGTTTCCTTGATATAATCTCTCTCTATATATATATTTATACACTTTACTGGTTTTGCTTCTCTAGAGAACCCAGCCTAAGACAGGTTCAAATCCCAGTTGGGCCAAATCTCAGTCCAAAAATCCGTCAGTGGATGAAGGGATAAACAAAATCTGGTCCATCCAGACAATGAAATATTATTCAGCCATAAAAAGAAATGAAGTCCTTGATACATGCTATGACATGGATGAACCTTGAAAATATGACGCTGAGTGAAATAAGGACAAATACTGTATGATTCTACTTATATGGACTATCTAGAACAGGCAAATGTATACAGACCTGAGGTTATTATTCACCAGCCGTTCCTTGGAAGCCCTATGAGGCAGTTCTGCTCTGTCCTGTAGGGTCGCTATGAGTTGGAATTGACTCTTGACTAGATGGCACACAACAATGGGGGCAGGTGGGCTGGAGGGAGGGGGGATCTCACTGCTTAGGGGATACTGAGCTTCTGTTAAGAGTGATGGGAAAAGTTGGAAATGGATAGTGATGATGGTTGCACATGATAAATACAATTAATGTCACTAAACTGTACATGTGAAGAATATGTTTTAAGAAGTGGTAAATTATGCTAAGTGAAAGAAGCCAGACACCATAGGTCACATATTGTCTGATTCCATTTATATGAAATCTCCAGAACGGGCAAATCTATAGACAGAAAGCAGATTAGTGGTTGCCTAGGGCTGGGGCTAGCTTGGCTGCTAACCAAAAGGTTGGCAGTTCAAATCCCCCAGCTGCTGCTCCTTGGAAACACTATGGTGTCATCCTACTCTGTCCTGTAGGGTTGCTATGAGTTGGAATCGACTCGACGGCAGTGAGTTTGGTTTTTTTGCTTTTTGTATGACTGGGGGTAAGGCACTTTGGTCATGCAACAGTTAAGCACTCTCCTGCTAAACTAAAGGTCGGTGGTTTGAACTCACCATTGGTTTTGCAGAAGAAAGACCTGTCGATCTGCTTCTGTAAAGCTTACAGCCTAGGAAACCCTATGGAACAGTTCTACTCTGTCTCAGGGGGTTGCTATGAGTCAGAATCGACTAGAGGGCACTCAACAACAGGGCTAGGAGAAGGGAGGAATGTGGAGTGACTGCTAATGGGTACCGGGTTTCCTTTTAGGCTGATGAAAATGTCTTAGAACTGGATAGAGGTGGCGGTTGCACAAGACTGTGAATGTACTAGGTGCCACCAAACTGTGCACTTTAAAATGGTTAATGGTTAATTTTACTTTATGCGAATTTCACCTCAATAAAATACGACTGGGAAGGGCGAGCGTTGGACACACACTCCCCCTCCATTCCCACACCCTCTCAGCCGCCTCACACCTGCCTTCCCTGCCCACTCAGAAAGTACCCAACGGTCCCCAGGTGCTGGGAGCTGTTCTCGCCCCACCCAAGTCCCCTTCCTCATGGGTTCCCCAAACACCCCACCCTCAGAGGTCAAGGCCATGGTCTTAGTTTGCTGGTGCTGCTGTAACAAAAATACCACAAGTGGGTGGACTTAAAGAACAGAAATTGATTTTCTACCGGTTCAGGAGGCTAGAAGTCTGAATTCAGGGCGCTGGCTTTAGCGGAAGGCTCTCTCTGGCAGCTCTGGGGGAAGGCCCTTAACTTTTTGAATTCCTGTAGTTTCCAGGTGCCTCTGTTCCTTAATGGTCTTCATGGCATCTATCTCCCACTCCTTCCCCCATTTGTGCTTCCTTGTCTCTGTGTCTATGCCACTTGTTAGGAGTCCCTGTGTGGCATGAATGGTTAAGCCCTGAAAAGTTGGAGGTTTGAACCCACTCAGACGCACCTCCGAAGAAAGGCCTGGTGATCTACTTCCAAAAGATCAGCCATTGGACTACTCTGACACGCAGGGGATCACCATGAGTTGGGGTCAACTTGACAGCAGCTGGCTTGGTTTCAGTATTTTTGAGGGCTAGGGTGGGCGCGAGGGCCTGTGGGCTTCACACTGAGTGTGCCGCTAGAGTCTTGGGGTTGGGGAGCTGAGCCCCTCAAGGCCGAGCTCTCAGGGCAGAGAGGACCTGGGTTGTTCTCTGCTCACAGATGCCCTCCTGCCCTGCTGGAGTCACCTTCAGGAGGTGACTCCCTGAGCTTTCTGTATGGAATGGGATGGAAGGGCTCCCGGTTGGAAACAAAGAACGCTTAATGCCTAAACGCTCATGTGTGACGGCCGTTTGTACCTATGACTGCCCCTGTGACTGCCCCAGTGCCCAAACAACAAAGCGGAGGCTCTGAGGAAACAAAGCCAGCACCCTGTCTACAGTTTGTTGGCCCAATTGGACGGGGCGTCCACACCCCCTTCCCCGACACCCCAGCTCGAGCTCCCTGCCCCCCTCCCCGCCCCCCCGTGGCAGCTGGTTCCAAGCACGGCCCAATGAACCAGGCATCCTGGTGTTCATGCCCCGGCGCGCTCCTCCCACTCACATCCCCACTGATCCTGTGCCAGCCCTGGACCTGAGCTTTGGGTCGCCTTGCGGCTCCTGCTTTTGAGCTTTGGAGAGCTCTCATGGATTGAATTGTGTCCTCCCAGAAGGGTGTTGTAAATCCTAACCCCTATAGTGGTTATGGAACCCTGGTGGTGCAGTGGTTAAAGTGCTCGGCTGCTAACCAAAAGGTTGGCCGTCCAAACCCACCAGCTGCTCCTTGGGAGAAAGATGTGACGGTCTGCCTCCGTAAAAAATACAGCCTAGGAAACACTATGGGGCAGCTCTACTCTGTCCTATAGGGTCGCTATAAGTCGGAATCGACTGGATGGCAATGGGTTTATAGTGGTTATAATCCCATTTGGGAATGGGTTTCCTTTGTTATGTTAATGAGGTATCGTTAGTGTAGGGTGCGCGTTAAATTAACTTCTTTTGAGATGTAAAAGGAACAGATGCAGCAAGCAGAGATGGGGGAAGCTAGATGCCACACCACGCGGTCTCCTTGGAACCGAGAAACAGAAGCTGAAAGGAGACAAGGACCTTCCCCAGAGCGGTCAGAGAGAGGCCCCCCTAGAGTCTGCACCCTGAACTTGGACTTCTGGCCTCCTAAACTGTGAGAAAATAAATCTTCTGTTCATTTAAACCGCCCATTTGTGATACTTGTTACAGCAGCACTAGATAACCGAGACGGGAGCCCATGCACCGAGCCCAGCCTGGCAGCCGTCCTCTAAGGCACCAATGTGGAGGGTGATGTCCAGCCAGCTGAGCCCCAGATAACCACAGCCACCATCCCACGGAGCCCACTCCACCCACAGAACAGAGAAAATACTGCAGAGGCTGTCTGAAGCCACCAAGCTGGGGAGGGTCTGTCCCACTGATCCCTGCTAACCAGAATGACATCCCAAGAAGCTCCAGATCCCAGACCTCTGCTTAGGCGCCATGTGGCACACACGTGCCCAGGCAAAAGCGAAGCAGGAAAAAAACCTAAAACCAAGAAAATCCTACTCTCTGTCATAACTAGGTTCCTGGATGGTGTGAACAGTTTGCACTCGACTGTGAATCTAAAGGTTCAAGCCCACCCAGTGGTGCTGAGGAAGAAAGGCCTGGCAATCTGCTTCCCTAAAGATTACAGCCAAGAAAGCCCTGTGGAGCAGTTCTACTCAGTAACATATGGGCTCGCCAGGATGGAATAGAATCGATGGCAAAGGGTTTGCTTTTGGTTTGGATATAACTGGTCTCAGCCACCTGGAACAAGCCCACCACCATTCTGTTTGTGCTGTAGGACACCTTGGCCCAGCTCAGGGTGCACCCAAGGCCCAGCAGGCTGGAGGGGGCTGACTGGAAACGCCCTGGTCCCCGCCTGGCTCAGCCCCCGTACCCCAGGAGGTGGGGTGCCCCTGTGCTCCATGGTCATCCGATGTCCCCACATCCTGGCTCAGCTCTCGTGGCCTCTGACATGCTGCCCACAGCCCAGACTCTGATACCCAATGATAAGTGTGGGGGGTCCCAAAGCTGAACTTTACCACCCCCAGGAAGCTTCCTTGTGCCCCCACTTCCTCTGTCCCCACCCAGCACCTGATCAACAGGAGCCGGCTCACTTCTGCCCGACACTGGAGCCCCAAGACCTTGAGGAGAAACCGAGTTTTGGTCCTGGGTGCTCCCCCAGCACTGGGCTGCACAGAGACTCAAGGCAGACACCCAGCCCACCTCCAAAGACGTCCTGGAGGTCACTCCCAGGGGCCTTGACACCCCATTCGGGTGAGGAAACCGAGGGTCAGAGAAGACCTTTCCCTGACCACAGCTGGGTGGAGCCAAGACTGACCCCGGGATGCCCTGCTTCCATGTCACAGAGGAGGAAGTCCCGATGGAGGGGTCCCTCCAGCCCAGGACTCAGGGAGTGGGGACACGGCCCAAGCTCCACCCCCTCATCGCAGAAGCTTCCATGAACGCAGTCCATTGCCCTGCCAATCTCACTCTGGACCCTCCAGGAAGCGAGAGGCAGAGTAGCCGAGGGGTGCCCAGGGCTAGGAGCTCCACCGCAGACCAGGGGCTGCGGCAGAGATGCTGGGCTGCCCAGGCTGAGGGAGACAGAGAGCAAGAGGCAGGCAGAAGAGGGGAGCCACCTTTAATCACATTCCTCCGATGGGGGCAGCCGGAGTGTCCAACCACTGGGCCATCCCACCCCATGGAAGGATCCAGAAGCAGCAGGCTAGCCCCTCTATCCTGGGGTAACGTGATCCCCGTCCCAGCTCCTCACACAGAGGGGAAGAACCTGGGGACCCCCAACCTCCGGGGCCAGGTCTGCGGGAACCCGGAGATGCAGTGCTGCTTCGCCAGAAGAGCTCAATCCCCAAGGCTGCCCACCAGCCCCCGCCCAGGGTCCTCCATCGTGGCTCCGCCCCCCTCGAAGGAGTAGCAGCAGGTCAGTGCAGAGTTGGCTTGATGGAAGAGGATGAGGGCGGGAGGAGATGAGGGCCGGAAGCAGATCGCCAGGCTGGGTCTCAAAGGAGGAAGGCCTTGTTGTCCGACATCAGCGAGGACTCCTTCAGCAGACGTCCTGGGCCGATGAGCTGGCACAGCGCCAGGAGGGCGGCGGCGGCCAGGGCTGCACTCAGCACAGCTGTGAGGGATTGACAGACAGACAAAAGAGTGGGTGGGGGGTGGGAGGAGCCCACACCCCATCCAGCTCCAAACAGGTGTGGGTAGGGGGTCTCAGCCCATCCCTTCCCCCAGCCCCTGCTCCCGGAACGGCGATTTCAAGCTTGGGGGGGTGGGGTGCTGCTCATCTCACCAGCGGCTGCGATGACCCCTAGGGTACTTTGGTTTCGGGGCTGGCCCAAGTCCTGGTCCCCGGCGTTGCTGAGATCGGTGACACTCTCCAGGATCACAGGGGTCCCTGTGGATGTGGCGTTCCCTCCCTGGAAGGTCTCGGTGGTCCCTGCAAGGAGCTCAAGCTTTCAGTAGCTGGGGAAGGGGCACCCAGGCCATGGGGTTCCAGACCCCAGGGGACCCCAAGGGCTCACCCCCATCTAGACTGGATGGAGTCTGGAGACTTGCTGCCCCTAATTGTTTGTCTTAACAGGAGCCCTGGTGGTGCAGTGGTTAAGTACTTGGCTGCTAACAGAAAGGTCTACAGTTGGAACCCACCAGCCCTCCGCGGGAGAAAGATGTGGCAGTCAGCTTCAGTAAAGATTACAGCCTTGAAAATCCCACAGGGCAGTTCTACTGTCCAATAGGGTTGCTATGAATTGGAATCGACTTGGGGGCAACAGGTTTGGTAACTGTGTCTTGCAGGCAACCACAACCCCCTACTGGTCACACAGTGGCAGGGCCCTGTCTACCACCAGCCCCAGCGCCTCCCCCCTACACCAAGGTCCCGGGCACGCACCGCAGCCTCGCTCGTCACTGGAGTCAGGGCAGTCCCGGTGGCCATCGCAGCGCCACGTGAGTGGGATGCAAGCACCGCCCAGCGCGCAGCGCAGCTCATCCGCCGGGCAGGGTTGGGGGCTGCAGTTGTGAGGGCTCTTACCCTGGCCACCCAGGCAGCCAGTGGGTGGCGGGCACCGCCCGTCTTGGGCACACAGCTCGATGCCTGGGCATTCGGGGGCACAGAGTCAGGTTCTAAACGCCCGCTGCCGAGGACCGAGTATTCCCGCAGCCCTGCCCCCTGCAAGCCCCACCTCCCAAGGCCAGCTGACTCTACCTCCCCGTAAGGTCCACCTCTCCTAAAGGCCCAGCTCAGGCTCCTGTTAGCCCCGCCTCCAAGGACTCACCTCTCTGCAAGCCCCTCCTCCCAAGACACTACTAGTTCTACCTCCCTGCAAGTCCACCTTTTCTAAGCCCCACCTCTTAAGCTGAACACCCACAAATCCCGTCCCATTTGTAAGCCCCACCCGTCCTCAGACCCCACCCTAGCTTGCCCTGCCTGTCAAGGCCCAATCCCCTCAAAGCCACACCCCTTCCACAAGCACCTCGCCTAATAGGTCCCGCCTTCCCGGAAAGCTCCGCCCCACGTACCTGTCTCCGCCTCCCTTCCAGCCTCAACCCCTCAGGCTCCGCCCCCTGCAGGTCCCTCCTCAAGGGCGTGGCCACTTACTGCACTCCTCTTCATCGCTTCCATCCGCACAGTCCCTGTCACTGTCACAGCGCCAGGCGACGGGTAAGCAGAAGCCATTGGTGCGGCACTGGAAGCTGGTGGGCGGGCACGAGCCTGTGCTGGGGTCTGCAGGATGAGCCAAGTGAGGACTGGGACTCCATTACCCGAATCCAGGCCCTACTCCAGGTATAGGGGAGTCACAGGCTGCCACCACCAGGAGACAGGCCAGGATACAGGATAGAGGAACGACATTGGTGCTGCCATTTGCTGAGCACCTACTACGTGCAGGGCTCACACACCTCATACAGGTCCTACTGTGGTTATACACTAAGGGCAGCAAGGCCCAGGCTACAGAGCTAGCCGCAGGATTCAAACCCAGGTCCATCTGATCCCAGAGTCGTTACCAGGCTCCAAATGGCCGGATGGTCTTCCTGGGAGACTCTGCAATGGATGATTTTTCAATGGATCATTTTTCAGTAGATTGCCAGGCCATTCTTCCGAGGCACCTCTGGGTGGACTCAAACCATCAACCTTTTTTGGTTACCAGCTGAGCACATTAATCGTTTGCACCATTCAGGGATTCCCCACTCACAATCACGGACCTTAAGCTGGTAACCTCTGTACCCATGGACTGGGCCCTCAGTGGAGGTCAGGGTCATGCCTTCTTGACCCCTAGCCCAGAGCAGTGCCTGATAATAAGTGGACAAAGGCTGCACAGGGGTCCAGATTGAGTCCGGATGCAATCTGGCCTTCCTGGATCCTACGTAGCAAGGCTCAGGCCACAGTCCAAAAGCCGGAGGGGGTGTTGATCTGGAAGGGCAGAGAGCTGGCCTGGAACCTGGGCCAGCAGGAGGGAGCCCCAGGGAGGGAGGAAGTGGCCTTTAGGGCTTCCTCTGGGTGCAGCAGTGTAGGTGTGGCGTACCCCAGGGTGGACTGCACAGTGGCCCCAGCCCAGCCCTATTCCCTCCACCTACCTGGTCCTCCCGCCCCTTCCCCCTTCACTCCTGGGGGCTTCCACTCCCCATAGCCAGCTCCTCCCCAGGCCTGCAGGCCGCAAAGCTTCTGAGCTCTATGGAGCCCGGAAGGGCTGGGGAGAGGCCGGAGTCCGGCTTCCTTCCCTGCCCAGGGGGGTCTGGCAGTCTCCAGGCACCACTTATTCACCAGGCCTAGCAACCTGCAGCCCTGAAGCCCTGACCTCCCCTCCCTGGCCAGCTGGCCTATATGTCCTCTGTGGAGTGGGCAGCAGAGCAAACCCTGTCTCATAGTGCAGTGAGTCAGGCAGGAGTTGAAGTGACCAGTGAATTTCCCTCCCAGCCTGTTTCCTCATCTGTAAAAGGGGCATGCTAGGAAGCCAGACCTCAGTGTCCTGAGGGTGGAGATGGCTTATGCATAAAGAGTTTTGTACTCAGCGTGAGTCCCTGAAGGCACCAGGAACATTTAGCCTGAAAAGGCAGGAACTCTGGGGTAGGGGGTGGCCCAGATTTGCTAAGAGGGGGACCCCCAGAATGGGGGGGAAGTGTGTGAACCTGGGCTTACAGCTAAGTCAGGGACACCTGTGCACACGGGGAGGCCTCTCTAACCCCCCCTAAACCAAAACCAAACCAAACCCGTTGCCATCGAGTCGATTCTGACTCATAGCGACCTATAGGACAGAGTAGAACTGCTCCATAGGGTTTCCAAGAGCGGCTGGTGGATTCGAACTGCCGATCTTTTGGTTAGCAGCTGAACTTTTAACCACTTTGCCAGCACGGCTTGCTAGCGGCCTCAAATGGGAGAACGGCTGGGGACCTCAGAGAGGACCCCCCTGCCCCCAACCTATCAATATCACTTAGGCCTGGTCGAACATGCCCACGAGGGGATATTAACTTATGGCCCTAGTTACTCCCCTCCTCCACCGAGGGCCAGGGGTCACAAGGAAGAAGACATCTTTCATACTCTAAGGCGGGAGAGTGAAGCACAGAGATTTGCGGGGGTGGGGGCGGTGATCGCCAAGGAAACTCAGCCACGTGATCTCGGACTAAGAGCTAGCGGCGGGCCGGGGGAAGGGGGGTGTTTGGAAGGCGCAGCTGCTGCAGGAGGCGCTTTCCTGGCCATGCTGGGTTAAGGGCAGCTTGGAGGTGACAATGAGTGCGATAAAGTAGAAGTGCGGAGTGTTAGCAGCGCCAGGGCATAGCAGTGATGGGTTGGCGGTCTGGGGCGGAGGTCCCCCATTAGGGCCTGCACACACGCTAAGACGTCAAAAGCCACGTGCGGGGTCGGGGGGGGGAGTGTCTGGGACGGACATGCGGCGCAGCCAATGGTGACACGCTGTCAGCGCGCGAGGGCGGGGCCTGTGTCACCGGGGGGCTGCCGCGCGGGGCTTACTCACCTGGGGTCTGCGCTGAGGGCCCGGCCGGGGTCGGGGTCGGGGTCGAGGTCCGGGAGAGGGTCGGGGTGGCCTCCAGCCCCAGCCCCAGCCCGAGGCCCAGCAGCAGCCGCAGAGGCAAGCCCACGACCGCTGTCCGCCAAGCTCCGACCCGCGCCATCCTGCCACTAGTCCCCGCCGCGGCTGGGACTACTGGCTCTTATCCCCGCGCACGCGCGCACAGATCGGGGGCGGGGTCCTGGGCCGGGCTCTGGGCGGAGCCCTGGGCGGGGCCCACGCCGCAGATCCAGCAGTGCGCGGGGCTGTTGCTGTTAGGTGCCCTCCAGTGGTTTCCGACTCATAGCGACCCAAGTACAGCAGAACGAAACACTGCCCGGTCCTGCGCCATCCTCACAATCATTGCTGTGTTTGAGCCCATTGTTGCAGCCACTGTGGCAATCCATCTCCTTGAGAGTCTTCCTCTTTTTTGCTGACCCTCTACTTTACCAAGCATGATGTCCTTCTCCAGGGACGGTCCCTGCTGATAACACGTCCAAAGTCCGTGAGATCAAGTCTTACCATTCTTGCTTCTAAGGAGCATTCTCGCCATAAATGTCCAAATACGACAAGATCTAGAATTCGAAGCCCTCCATTTTCTCGGTGACAAGGTCTTGAAAATGTATGAGGCCTGCTTGAAATTAGAAACTTGGGGGAACGTAAAGGACCTTATCCGCCAAGCGTCTGTCAGTCCTACTGTGGTGGCTTGCGTGTTGCTGTGATGCTGGAAGCTTTGCCACCAGTATTTGAGGCTGGACTGTATGAAGAGGAGCAGGGCATCGGGATTGGAGGAAGACTCATTAACAATCTGCGTTATGCAGATGACGCAATCTTGCTTGCTGGAAGTGGAGAGGACTGGAAGCACTTACTGATGAGAATGGGGACCACAGCCTTCAGTGTGGATTACACCTCAACATAAGGAAGGCAAAGGTCCTCACAACTGCATCAATGGGCAACACCGTGATGGACCAAGAGGGAACTGAGGTTGTCCCGGATTTCATGTTACTTCGATCCACAATCGATGCCCATGGGAGCAGCAGTCAAGAAATCAAAAGACGCATTGCACTGGGCAGGTCTACTGCAAAAGACCTCCTTGAGGTGTTGAGAAGCAAAGATGTCACCTTGGGGGCTGGGGTGCACCTGACCCAAGCCATGGTGTTTTCAGTCGCCTCATATGTATGCAAGGGCTGGACAATGGGTAGGGAAGACCAAAGACAAGTTGATACCTTTGAATTGCGGTGTTGGTGAAGAATCTTGAATGTATCGTGGAATGCCAAAAGAGCAAGTGGATCTGTCTTGGAAGAAGTGCAACCAGGGTGCTCCTTGGAGGTGGGGATGGCGAGACTGCGTCTCACGTACTTTGGACATGTTGTCAGGAGGAATGATTCCTGGAGAAGGACATTGTGCTTGGTGGGGTAGAGTGTCAGTGGGAGAGAGGAAGACCCTCAACGAGACGGATTGACACAGTGGCTGCAACAATGGGCTCGAACGTAACACCGATTGTGAGGATGGCACAGGAGTGGGCAGTGTTTCGTTCTGTTGTACTTAGGGTCACTGTAAGTTGGAACTGACTCAACGGCACCTAACAACAACACAGGACATTATTGGTGTCTGCTTAAACAATATTTGACATTCTTCATAAAGACTGGGGAGTCCCTGGTGGTGCAAATGCTGACTTGCTTGGTGCTAATCAAAAGATTGGAGATTCAGGTCCACCCAGAGGCGCCTCAGAAGAAAGCCTGGCAATCTACTTCTGAGAAACCAGCTATTGAAAACCCTGTGGAACACAGCTCTACTCCGACACATGGAAGGTCTCTCTGAGTTGGAGTCGACTGGATGGCAACTGGTGGCAGATACATGCTGTAGCAAATGTCACTGCCTCAACAAATCCTTCCTTCAATACCCTATTGTAAATGGCAGCCACCCACCTTGGACACCCCACACCCCCTCCTTCTTCTTTTGTGCACCCCACATGCTACATGTTTTACTTCTTTATTCTGGTTTATTGGCTGGTTCCCCACTAGCACGTCAGCTCTAGGAGGGCAGGGATGCTGTGTTGCTCTTTGCTGTATCCCCACTGCCTAGAACAGTACCCCCAAAAATGACAC